TGCAGAGGAAGACTTTACAGAGGCTGACCCTGATTTTGAGATCACAGAGGAGCAGCATTCAGATGAGGATTCAGAGGAGGAATGCCGTGAGGAAGATCCAAATTTTCTCTCTAAAAATGGGGAAATACTTTGGAGTTCGTCTCCTGGTGGAGGAGACGAACTCCAAAGTATTTCCCCATTTTTAGAGAGAAAATGAATAAACACCAAAATCAACCTCTTGAACAGCTTTCCATCTCTTCACAACAAAATACACCTGTGAACCAGAACGAATCAACCAGAACGAATTTTTTCACCTCCTATGGTCTTGGCACAGAGCTCTTACAGAGAAAAATAAGCATGATAGGAACTGTGAGAAAAAACACCAGGAAGAACACGAGCAGAGGAGATCATCAGAAAGACACCTGGTCCCACAAGGTATGCCTGTTCAAGAGCTGAAGACATAAATTCAACATTTGAGTTTTATTTTCCTAGCTCAATTCAGAACATTCTAGTTAGAATGACAAATTTAGAGGGGCGTCGAGTGTTTGGTGATCAGTGGACTGACATTGACTGGACTGCAATGGAAGCTTTTATTGGTCCTCTCATCCTTGCCGGAGTTTTTAAATCCTACAATGAGGCAACACGAAGCCTGTGGCATGGTGAGATGGGGAGAGCGATTTTTCGGACTACCATGCCGCTGAAAGATTTTGAGAGATTGTCAAGTGTGCTCCGTTTTGATGACAAATCAACAAGAGCTGCAAGAAGAGAAACAGACAAGCTGGCACCCATCCGTGAACTGTGGGAAAAATGGGTAGAAAGGTTTCCCATGATGTATAATCCTGGCTTGAATGTAACTGTAGATGAATGCTTGCTTGGGTTCAGGGACCGCTGCCTGTTCAAGCAGTATATGCTGAGCAAACCAGCTAAATACGGTCTCAAAATTATTTGGGCAGCCTGTGATGCCAAAAGCAGCTACAGCTACAATATGCAGGTGTACACTGGTAAACCTGCAGGAGCACAACACGAGCGAAACCTGGGCAAACGTGTGGTGCTTGAAATGCTACGTGATCTTGAGGGGCACATTGTCACGTGTGACAATTTTTTCACCTCCTATGGTCTTGGCACAGAGCTCTTACAGAGAAAAATAAGCATGATAGGAACTGTGAGAAAAAACAAGCCAGAGCTCCCAAGTGCTTTGGTCACAAGAAGAAACAGGACTCGTTTTTCATCTTTGTTTGCGTTCACCGAGACACACACCATCGTGTCCTACTGCCCAAAAAAGAACAAGAACGTGATTCTTATGAGCACCGCACACAAGGATGCAGCAGTAAGTGAACGTGAGGACAGAAAGCCGAAAATGATTTTGGACTACAACACTACCAAAGGTGGAGTGGACAATCTGGACAAGGTATGTGCTACTTTGTATTTGTTCACTGCTAATAATAATTGTATAATATTTGATAATAACTTATAGTCTAAGCTAAATGGTAAACTGAAGTTGAAATGAACTGGGGAAAAAAAGTAAATTGCACTAAATGACAGAACATTTACTAAAATTTTTTGCATGTGTGTGTGTGTGTAATATTCCAGATCGTTGCAACATACACATGTGGACGGAAGACAGCTCGCTGGCCCATGGCTCTCTTCTTCAATATAATCGATGTCTCAGCCTACAATTCATTTGTGCTGTGGAGGGAAATCAATCCCACCTGGAGACAGGGGAAAAGTTCCAGGAGGAGGAATTTTCTGGAGGAGCTGGGGAAAGCGCTGGTGTACCCATTCATGAAAAGAAGGCAAAGCATTCCTCGCACACCAGCCTCTGTGAGCTTCCTAAAAAAAGTGCAGGATTCCATGGATGAGGAAGGTGGTTCCTCCACGGCTGTTGACTGCAGAGCTGGTGCCTCCATGGCTGGTCCCTCCACGGCTCGTGCCTCCGCAGCTGGTCCCTCCACGGCTCGTCCATCAACAGCTGGTCCCTCCACGGCTTGTCCATCAACAGCTGGTCCCTCCACGGCTC